GCTGTTGGGTTCAGGTATGCTAGAATTCCCTTAATCGATTCGTTTTTTTACTTTTCCTCTGGTGGTTATATTGCAAATTTCGCTCGAAATATTTGAATGAGAACCCTATTTCCCAGAAGCGCGGCTTACATTTCACTCAGGGCCAGAGATCGCGTTGTGTAAAATTTCTGCTAAATACAGCCCCCACCCCTAGAAGAGTATCTGAGTATGACCCTCCCGCCTGCTTGAAAAAAGAGATAACATCGAATCAGATACTTGAACGTTTGCGCGCATTTAGGCAGTTGCACTGAACTGAACTATTTCGCGGTATCTTTTCAAAATAAGCCAGGAAATGCGGCTTATACGCCAGAATTAAAGGGAATCCTGGACGGTTCTGGAAAGAATTCAATTCCAGGAATGATAACAAGCCTCTCATGACAACTGCTGATGTCGGCGGTGACATAGTGGTGTGGAATCTGGAGAAGCGTCAGTTGGTAGGCAAGGTGGCGGGTGCTCACCATGCCGCTGTTACTGAGTTGTATTTTATGCCAGGAGAACCCATTATGGTAAGTGTTCATCGTTTTCTCCGTGCTTTTTAGATCAGTTCAAGTATTAAGGTGTCTGCATCTGCGGATAATTCGCTGAGGACTTGGGTACTTGATGGAGGTGATGACATGCCTCGACAACTAGTTATCTTGGAAGGGCACGCAGAAGGAGTGACTGCTGTACAGTTCAACGGGAAGCAAGAGGTAATTTTTGTTTTACAGGAAACTTCAGCAGTGCAAAAGCTCTCTAGAGGCTTCAAGGCGAAGGTTGTGCTAGATGCGGGAGGTCTTATCTAGCATACCTGTGAGTGAACCTGCTCAATTTGTCTGTTGACGACACGATGTGTACGGCGATAGGCCAGTTACCAGATAGCTCCGCCCACGCGCTGACACAGTCTTTTTTCATGCCATAATATCATGGCAGAATTCATTACTAAGGCAGTTTAGGGGAGAAAATCGCGGCGTTGGTAGGTACTTCCTCATGGTGGTCTGCGTTCTGGTAAGGC